CTTTCCCTTCCTCTCTGAGAGAGATACCTGAGCCAGCAGGTCAACTCAGGTTACCTCAACAGGTATAAGGCCCCCAGGGGATGGACGCCAGCAAGGGAGAGCAGGTCCCCTGAACCAAAAGGCGGGATCCTATGGGGTCCTTAAGTCTGGAGACTTTGAAGAGGAACAAGCACACCCTATCCCCAAACACTCCAGGCGTCAGACATCGCCATGCCTCTTGCCCCTCCCCTGGGTGGGAGGCTGCCCTGTCTTCCCCGGTCCTTGAGGCTCTCTGGCTGCCCCTGTGGGTACAGAAGAGGTGGGGTCGCTGCATACACCCAGCCCGACCGCACTGCCCCTTCAGACACCAGCTCCTGCCTGAGGCAGGGAGCCCAGGCAATGGCCAGGAGCTTGGCTGGGGGTTCTGAGTACAAAGCTGTTTGTGGGGACAGAGGAGAGGGCAGCTGGTGGATCTCTGGCTTCTGGCTGGGTTGGTTCAGGATGTTCCTTCTCAGGAGGCTACTTGTATCAAGGTTGGAGGAGACTGAAGCAGGCCTCTCACTTGTTCCCACATACCCTGACCCCACATACCCTGACCCCACATACCCTGACCCCACATACCCTGACCCCACATACCCTGGCCCCATCATAAGAAATGCCAGCTTGCCCTGGACATCCCTTGGCTTCACCTCACCCCCCACTTCCCCAGGCAGGCTGCCCAGGCCAGGATGTGGATGAGAACTGTCAACAGACACTCTTTAAATATTTACCCACACTTTCTCTGGGCGGTTTCCCCCACCCCCAAGACAGGGTACATGCAAGTTAATTCTAATGAATAAAAGAACCTTAGTTCATCAGCACCCTTCTCTGGCCATATGTGCGTGCAGTGATGTGAGCTGAACACAGACAGAGAGAAAAGGGAGAAAGTGAGAGAGCTGTAGATATGTGTGCTGTGTGCATACGAATGAAGAAGAGGAAGAATGATTTTTCTGGCCCTCTCCCCGTACAGTGTGTGAGGTTGTTACACACAGGGCAACACTGAGGTACACTGGGGATATACAGATACTGTATATGCTACCTTCCACCCTGAAAAACATCAAATGCACCCTCACTAAACTATCATGCCTTGAAGCACCCCTGTCACTTCACAGATTCTGTGCACACGCATGCACACCCAGGCACATAGGAAAACAATGCCTAACAAATACATGCGCAGCGTTAGCTCTTTGCATCATGAACAAATTTGCTACCTATTTTCCGTCCACATCCTGAGGCTCCCACATCCTGGATGAGGAAGGAGGCCGTAGGAAACCAGATCTTTTTCTTCCCCATCTGGAAGCCAGCTCTGGGTATGGAGGAAGGCATGGCAGTGCAGGGGAGGATGGTGTTGAGAGAAGGAGCTTCCCCATCCCACCTCTTTATGATTTAAATAATTTCTGGGGAAATGGCCACCCTCAGCCACATTCTCCAAGGAGATTCACTGATGCCCAAGCAAGAGATGCTTCCTCTATCCTCTGAATTTAGAGAAACCCTCCCCCATCTGAGTTCGGGGCTGCCCAGACTGGGAAGCCCAGACCATGGACCCTGGAGCAGCGGGAGGGGAGGGTCAGAGGAAGGCTGTGCCAGGGCCTCATGTCTCCCTAGGGCCCCGGATAGTGGAGGACACGACAGGGGAGAGCATGCTCCAGCCTTGGTTGCAGCCCTGCCTTCTCTGAGCCTGCTCTGCAGTCCTGAGCGCATCCGGATGGACTCTGGCTCCCAGCATCTGATCACCCGGACTGTCATAAATACTTCTCCTCCCTGCCTGGGAAGAGGAGGCTGGCAGGCCGGTCCCTTCTGGAGCCTGCACCTTATCTTTTAGAGGGTGGAGGGGACACCGCTACAGTTTATGGGCCAGCGAAATCCCTGCCACACAGCTACTCTTCCGGGTCTTTGTGTCTTGGAATGCGACTGTCCTGAGTGTGCCGCCACCACCACCACCACCGCCGGCTCTGAGAGCCCACCAGTCCTGAAAACCCTGGCCGGACTTAGTTTCCCCTTTTGGGGGGGTCCCTCGCCTTTTCTTCCTTTCTTTCATTTGATTGGTTTCTTTTTTTCTTTTATGCGTAACTGGTTGATTTTCCTTCGGGAGCCAGGAAATAAAGAACCACAAGCAGCCATCCTCGCTGGGGAGTCTCTGTCCCTCGCCTCGAGGCCTGCACCGCCTTTCTAGGTATCACGGATTTATGTTCGTTTGTCTGGGTCATTCTGCCTTTTTGTGTTAATTACGCGCTGCCTGCTTCGTTCTTATCTCCTCCGCAAAGCGATTATTTTCGACACCCGCCCTCCCTCGCCTCCCTCGCGAACCTGCTGTCAGGGCCAGGGCCCATCTCCCGCCACCGCTCACGATTTATTTACACCTCGCAGGTGAGAGGATTGATTTGCTCAGCCAGTAGGGCCGGGC